TGTGATCATAAATTTATAAATTAAAATTTAATTATTATAAACTGCATAAAAATCAATCTTTGTTTGTTACAGTTAAAATAATTACAAAATATAGTATGAACTGTTTAAATCAATTGTATTTTTTATGAATTACTGATTAATGTATATAAATAATAATCATATTATTGGCGATATAAAGTATTGGCAATTATAATTTGTAATAATGTAATGCCATGTCTTGCGTTAATCTCATTCAAATGGTTTGCCAGAAACCACTAATTATTGTCACTACCGGCGACCCACGGGGTAGGCATCAAAACAGTACTTGTGATCTAACAATCAAAACAGTGATCATTGGGTACTTAACAATAGCTAAGTTTGCAGACTATTTAACGAAGAATTGGTATTTCAAATCTAGTGAATGGCTTAATTTGAATGCAAAATGCATGCCAGCAATTGGTCTCAAGTATTTGTATAAAAATTACATATAACTTGAGAACAGAAAAAGTTGGACTCAAACACAGAATATTCTTTCAATTCGTTCAACATTTATGACTTGAATTGAGAAAAGAGTCCAAAAATAAGATTAACTCAAGTGTTGACTACATATGCACTCAAATACACGTCTAGTAATGCAAATACTGTCAACTCATTCAATCTGTAGTCTCATAATTATCTTCATATCTATAATATATGCACAAAGAATTTGTTTCAATTAAATTATGTTTCTCTTCATTAAAAAACTTTTTAATTTCTATAAAAATATTGACGTAAGTCATGAATAGGGTTAGGCAAAGGGGTACAAATAATGGGGGGAAAGCAAAATTAAGGATGCGAAAATACATTTAATATTTCGAAACTAATAACTTATTAAAACATCAAATATTTAAAGAAAATATGTTCTATTTATACAAATAATCAACAAAAAACAATATTATTGTAATTATTTATTATGAATAATATTATAAATGTTTTCTTTTATGTTATTTGATGATCTTATTCTGAGAATACAATGTAAAGTATCATCACTTAATCTATTAGTTGATGCCTCGTACTTTCTTTAGCATTGCCCATAGAATTAACATTATCCATATATTTAGCATTGCCCATGTTGAGCCTATGTCGTAGCCTTAAGCTGTAATCCCATAGAAACCCATGTTAACGCATTCTAACATAAATTTAACATTAGTCCCATAGGATTAATATTGAAAATACTACAATTTCCCTTCATATTTTGCTTTCCATAGAAAATAAGATTAGGATTATCCATAGAATAACATTAGCCCATGTTAAGTCTATGGAAAACGCTCCATAGGATTAGCATTAGCCATGTTAAAATATAGCCATAGACTTAAGCTGTGATTCCGTTTTAAATCTCACGATCGATCCTATAAACCACATTATTAATAGCTGAATTGTGGTTAAAAAACTTTCACAGTTATAAGTTGTTCCAAAATATCTTATTGTTTAAATATAGACTTAAGCTGTGATTCCGTTTTAAATCTCACGATCGATCCTATAAACCACATTATTAATAGCTGAATTGTGGTTAAAAAACTTTCACATTTATAAGTTGTTCCAAAATATCTTATTGTTTAAAATTTTTAAATTGTCTAATATTATTGTTTATTATTGATGTTGATTCGGTCTAAACAATAATTTTACTCATAGATTTATTATTGCCATAGACTTATTATTATCCAAGTTAATCCTAAGCCATAGTTTTATCATTATAGATATTTCCATAACATAAGCATTAGTCATATAGAGTTAACATTACTCCCATAGATTTAATATTACCCATAGGATAGACTTAGCATTGCTTATGTTAAACCTGTGTCATAGAATTAAGCTGTGATTAATTTTGTTTAACAATTTAAAGATTAGAAGTGAGATTGAATCATATTTGTGTTTTACACTATGTATATTAACCATCTGTAGCAAATTCAAGGATAACCCAGGTTAGTAGTTTGCCTAACGCCACTCATATAAAAATATATAGACAGTACTTGTTTAGAGTTTTTATAAAAGTTTAAAAACTACAGGATGTGTAAATTACATGTTTAATTCTTACGCTACTTATTCCAATCGAATTAAATTGACAGTTATTTTATAATATTTAGATTATTTAGATAACAATTTGTAATTTATATTACATTATTTTTATACATACATGCGCGTTACAAATTATGCGAAATGACACTGAAATGTTTTTAACAAATGATAAAACATATAATGACATTACAATCGTTGATATATTTCGAAATGCATTCCCGCCGTTAATCATCGGATGTTTCGTTGCATTAATAATAATCTCAATTGAATTAATTTTGCACAATATTTCCATTATTTGTGCATTTATTATATCTATTCTAGTGTTTGTCAAAAGCATTACATTTGGTTTAATTCAAAAGTTACTTAATTTGATTGATTATTTTGTCCGATGTTTTACATTATAGTCATTCAAAGGCAGAGAATCGGTGGACCAGTTGTCAGGGATTACAGGAGTATAACTAGTGGTCGATATAAATACAGTATACAAAGTATACAAATACAGTATATAAATACAGTTTATAATCTCACCCAACAATACACAACACTATTCTATGTTTAATAAACTATTTTACTTACACTTCAGTTAACAATAACTTTTATTATGTAAAACATATTTAACAAAATAAAGTGATTTTGAATTTTGCATTAAATGTTGTAATCAATCACTACAAACACAATATAGTAATATTGTTTTATATCATTATTAATGAAAACACTTATACTAAACCATAACTTACATTGTTACATTATTTATATTAAAATATCGTAATGTTTTAATAATAAAATAATAGTTGCACTTATGGTTGGAATTACAGAAATTTTTATAAAATACTCGAATTAAGGAATATTTGTAGAGTAGAGGAGGGGGTCATTGCTGTGCACTGAAAAATAAAGAAACTAAGGGACTAAAGCTGAATTAAACTATTGCTAATCAGTTTGCAGTGAGTGATTGAAATGTGACATTCATATTGTATTAATAAACATTAAACGCTGTTATTTTATTTAAATGGATAATATCTTTTTGTACATGCACATTTTTTTCTATTTCACAATATTGAACAATACAACATGTTGAAACAGTACAATGTGTATACGATATTTTTCATGAATGTTACTGTATAATTAAATAATTTGTTTAACCTAGATTATTTTATTGTATTAGTATACACGAAATATTGTTAGTGTTGATTCTTAAATAATTAATGAATAAAAAATAAAAACTTTTAATAAGTTAGTTTACAGTATATAATTATTGTTTTTGTAAACTTATATAAATAGTTACTGAAACGTTCATGTCTAATTTTTGCAATAATTAAAAATTTGCAAAAGTTATTAAAATTTATTATTATTTTAAGGAATCGTTCAAATTGTTAACTAACCTTATTTAAATTACAATTCATGTATTAATGTGGTCTATAAAATCTAATATGTAATCTATGGGATTTTTCGAGAATCACCAGAATTTTGGTTACAAATGTTTGAAATTTAAAATAAATTCTTATAATGATTATAATTTTAAAAATATTATAAATATTAATTGTATAATTTAAATTAAAGCTATTAACTAATTCCTATTAATATCAATTATTCAATTATTGTTTTTATAACAAACATTTTCTTTGAATGCATTTTTCTTGAAAAATGTTTTACACAAATCGCAAGTAATTGCTGTGAAATGTCGGCATAAGTATGAGGTAAATATTATATGAATTAATTATAAATATTGAATTTTATCACAAAATACATACCAGTAGTTTTAGTTCCGCCACCAATCATACAAACAATTTTATTAATATCATTAGCATTCATTTTGATAGTGAAACATAACCAAATTCAACACAATATTCAATTTATTGATCTTAAAAATGATAACATACGTATATAATATTTGCACATGTTTGGCAATTCTTGGAAATTAAAATACAAAATATTATCATAAAAATAATAAACAAGAAATAGTTGTCAAAGCAATCGATACGTGTCTTTATTTAAACCTACGGTTTACAAATTCATTTTTATTAATTTTTCCTGTATGCAAATTTAATTTAAACTACATGTAAATTTAACTTGTGTTGTAATATGTTGAATACTGTTGACATATGAATTTCTCTGTGCAAGAAACACATATCTCTTAATACTTTCATAGCTGTAACGCATTGTAAAAGCATTAAAATTAATGCATTACAGTTTGAAGAGATGTGTGAGATCTTGCATTCATATTAGGTAATTTGTTAAAGTATTGGCCTGCAAAATTTATATTGTAAATATAGCTAATACAGTGCAACTTCTCCATAAGGAACGGCCAGTTGCACTGCAAAAGTGTTCCCTATAGAGAGGGTTCCTCCACGGGAGGTTCTGTTATAGGTATAAAAAAGCTAAAATATATTTAAAATCGGTTCCTTTAAAGGAGGTATTCCCCCTTAAATAGTTGCCTCAAGAGAGGTTGAACTGTATTTGGTTTGTGGTGTCTAATAATGTTAACTAAAGTTATGGAACAATTTTCATAATTATATTTGCATTAAAAATTAGATATGCCTGACCGTTATTAAATGATCTAATAGTATTTTAATAATAAATGTAATGACACACAATTATATAAAATATTATGAATGTTTTAGTTTATAAAATAAATTCAATTTCATATTCATGATATTATTTAATATATTATATTAAAATATAAATAGTTTATGTATTATTTATTAGTAAGGCCAACACTTAAGTATTGCAATTAAATCTTTATTACAATTTATTGTATACTTTTTACCACCAAAGTACCACCTTTTTGTTATCTTTATTTATTAGTATTAATTGCTCATGATCTTATAGTTGTATAAGTAATTTATACCAATTAAATATGTACACTAAGAATTTTATATATCTACATAAGGGATCCTATGGAAATGAGTCAAAAGTATCTACATAAAAGTTAAATTTATAGCAAAACAATAAAATTAAAGAAATTTTTTTATGTCTAATGAACTTCTCATTGAACTAACAAAAGGCAAACACTCGGCCCTCAACTCCATAATGGGTGCCAACTCTGGAGGTCTGGCGCTTAACATCACATTTGCGGGAACTGTTAGTATCAGTGCTAAAGCAAGTGATGGAAGAGATGGACACGAAGTGAAGGTCTCGACCGGCTATTTGGGAGGTTTGGGTCTTCTTCTGGGAGTAAATGCTGAGCAAAACAAAGACTTTTCATTGGATTCCGAATCCATTCCTTCGGATCCATTCCTGAAGAATATCTACGAAACAAGTATTTCATTGTTTTTATTAGCGATTGAATGAAATGTTAATCCATTTTGTGTGATATCCAGACCTAAACTCCCAGAAAACGTTATCCACGTCTGAGACGGGAGTACTCGTAGCCCACGGGTCGGCCACCGGATCCCAAATCACGACAANATTAGCGATTGAATGAAATGTTAATCCATTTTGTGTGATATCCAGACCTAAACTCCCAGAAAACGTTATCCACGTCTGAGACGGGAGTACTCGTAGCCCACGGGTCGGCCACCGGATCCCAAATCACGACAAACAACGGGAAACTGGAAAGTGGTTTAATCGGAGGCTTTGTTGTCGGATCTGTCACTAAAGTGTCCGCTAAATAAAGTTAAACTCAATTAAATCTATAAAATATCTTATATTCTATAATAAAGTCTATTAATTTGTGGTAAAACTTGTAATCAATAACATTAATAAATGTTTTAATAATTTTAAGCAAACAATGAAATAATTTATTAGATTTAAGGAATATTTAATCAAATTGAAGTAAAAGTTATTCATAAATTTAGACAGAATTCATGAGATATTGAAAACACAAGTCTTTGATCTCTTCTTCGCCGTAGTCTTCGGCCAAACCAAACAGTTGTCGACAGTTCTGGTCATTAATTTCGGGTCTCATTCCGTATAAACACATGAGAAACGTGTGAAACGTATCGTAAGAATAGTCACTTATATTGATCTCATTTTCATTTATCAAAATCTGTTCATATTTTTGCCAAAACTCTTTGTTTCTAAACTTGAGAACAGTTTTGTGACAATAAATCACTTTATTTTCGACAATAAATCTTAAATCAAAATCCAATCGATTGTCAAACGCTTTCAACAAATGCTTTTGAAAACAACTAAAAAATACAATCAATTAATAATTAATTGTTTATTACATTATCAATATTTACGCCATCATTGGATCCATACTGTCGGTCTGTTTCTGGTCAGCGATTCCCGCATTATCTCCACATTCAGAGTCATTATAATCCGAACATAAATTCGATTTCAATGTATTAACAGATGTTTTGCTATTAAATACATAATATTTTCACTTCAAAACTATTATAAACAAAACAAAGACTTACGGATCAATTGAATCCGATATCGAGACAAGTGATTGGCCGTCAATTATAGACGAATCGGATTTATTGCACACTCTGTTAACGAGTGGATCAAATTGTGATAAATCCGATGCCATCTGTGATTCGGTTTCTAATTGAATATCTTCTTCGCCATCATATTCTTCGGGTTCCGATACATAGATCTCTTCGTCGGCATATTTTTCATCATTAAAACCGCTTTCAAAATCATTATAAGAATCAGAGGCTACGGATCCGGTAGTGATAGTAGTGTTGGTATTCATCGGCGATATCATGTCTTCCATCATCTTCTTAATCGACGCAAAAGTCTTATCAAAACCACAATATTTGGCGTAAATATCAAACAGCGAACAACCCATCGGTATATCAATGGAAGTACAAGTGGCGTAACCCTTCTTATCGGCTCCAAGAATGAAGTGCTGGCCATCCATTGCGGTCGCGATAACCATACGATTACTATAAGTGGTGTCAATGCGTTTGAATTGAGTTTGACGGTCCAATTGGATAGTTTTCAATGTGTGGCCACTTTTGGCAATAGGTTTCCAGCGATTGAAACCAAACACACGGACGAGACCTGTGGACGACATGAGTACCGTATGATTCAGACCACAGACCACGCCTATCATACGCAGCCAATGACCGCGATTGTAGTACTTTATGGACTGCGGACAACAGTATGACTGACTGTCCACTGGGATCACCAGCGGACTCAACTGTTTGGACTTATTGCTACCCCAGACAAACACCGATCCCGTAACGGTCAGAGCCGATGAATGATTACGACCGCAAGAGATGGCCAAACACTTGACCGGTTTATGTGGCGGCAAATTGGAGGCTATGGGCACTTGAGTGGGCGTCCAAACAATGTCACCGCTTTCGTGACCGCATTGGCGCCGATCGTTGGCCCCAAAGCTATACACAATTCCATCTCTGGTCAGCGCCAGCGAGTGATTATCACCGCATGAGATGGCCATCACTTCCTTGGAATTAGATCGACGACTAAGTACTTCAATTAGTTGAGGGGTCGGTGTGTCGGCCACAGACCCGACGCCAATCTGTCCGCACGAGTTATGTCCCCATCCATAGCACTGTCTGTCACTCGTGAGTCCCAAACAGTGTCCCAAACCATAGCATATCTTCATTATCTTCTTTCCGGTGAGAGTGGCGTTCAGTTGTGGTCTTGCAATCAAACCATTCACTCCGAGACCCAATCGCCCGAAACGGTTGGCACCGAAGCCGTAGACCCGTTCATCGGCGGTCACAACAATCACTTCTTCGCCGTTATCTCCAAAAACATCTAATAATTTGATCCTTAGTTTGCGGTCGCGTTTGTTGTCCACCGTTTGTGGACACAAATCGGGAAACTTTCGCAAAACATACAAACTATCCATTCATTCATTCAATCATTTGTTTTTGTTTTCAAAACACATTTCAATGCTTTCACGCATTCATTAAATAGTAAGTCATAAGCGTTTCGCTCATCAATAAAACCCCTTTAAATATAGCGATCGCTTCACTGCTTAACATACTATTTGATTAATGGATTAATTTTGACAATAATTGTAAATTCCTATCAATTTATTTAATTCTATAATTACATGTATAATAGTTTAAAACAAACCATGTTAAACTCAAATAAATTACATTTTGTTTATATATTTAATTAAGACAATTAAAATGATAGTAGATTTTATAAAATAATCAAATGTTAATTATATATAAATATAGTATAATTTCAATTAGTTTTCACTCAAACACTGATTGCATGAGTCGTTTGGACACGTGTTGAGGCAATGCGTGAAATGAATCCGATTTAAAACATGGGATCAAATTGTTTGTCACGAATTCAACGCATCTCTTCTCCAAGTCAACGGATCCATCGGTTATAGACTTCTCATACAGACTGCAAACGTTTGACAAATCAATTGCTTTGTCAGTCGATCCAAATATCTGTGCGCACAACTCTTGAAGAACTGATTCGCCATAAAGTGTGGCCAACTTTAAGACTTCGCGAGCGATTCTGGGAGTGATCTTCGGTTTGATTGCATACAAAGACTGAAGGAATGGATAGAAAGAGTCGTAAGAATAGCTCTTAACGTGAATCTCATTATCGATTGAATTGTTATTAATTTTATTCAACATTTGCTGACATTTTTGCCAAAACTGTTTGTTTCGTATTTTAATCACAGATTTGTGACAATAAATGCGTTTATCGTTGAATACAAACACCAAATCGTAATC